AGTTAAAATGCAATTACAACTCCCCGAGCAGGGATAAAGGAAAGAAATGTTTTACATGTTCACCTCCAAAGTTAAAAAGTCAATTTAATATCATAGAAATAAAAACTTTCATTTATTTTTACTCACTGGTAAAGACTTCATTAGTTATAGTAAAGTGAAGATAAATTCAAGTGTGTGTTACCTGTGTCTGGCAGAGAATTAGTAAAATGCAGGAGGGTGAGGCGGGGCGCATCTCCCTGGCACCACCGGCCTGTTCACCTCCCTGTCCCTCCTGCGTTGGGCCCAGGCTGGTCTTTGCAGAGCACCGAAGTGCAGGCAGTTAGTGGCCAGTCGGGGGCGTCCTGCAGGAGTGGTGTTTGGGGATTAGCTTAAGGGAATTGTTTGGGGGTCTGCGATCACCCCGTTCAGGGTCTTCCGCACTGGGGCTCTTCAGCGAGCAGTGCTGCGGGCCTGCAACGCGCTCGGCATGCGGCCGCTGAGAGCAGGAAAAAGAGAGGCACCCCTTGGTTCCTGTGTGATCTTGGGCGAGTTATTGAATGTCTCTAAGCCCAGCTTCCTCACCAGTCAAAAATAATAATGATATGGTAGTTCCTCCACCCTGACGGGATTCGGGGAGAGAAAGCACCAACACTCAGGACAGTGACTTGCATGTGATAGACCCTCGGTAAGGATTAGCTGCTAGTGTTAACGACGTCTTAATAAAATCATTAATAATGTTTAATGTTATTTTAAACTGAAAACAAGTTAGAAACCAAAACACTGTTTGTAAAGTGCAATACTGTTTGTAAGCACCTGGACAGTGGTTGTGATAGATACACCTTGTAACGAGGAAGGGAAGGGGAAGCAGACGGAGCGTCTGAGTTGCTGGGAGTTTAGAGTACAGTTGTGATGCCCACATGCCCCATAAATAGTAATCATAGTAATAGTAGTCATAGTAAAGTTTGCTGAGTGTCCGCCGTGCCCCAGGAATTATGCCGAGCACATCGTGTGTAGTAATAACTCATTTAACAGGAACAAAAACCACAAGGTAGATGGCAATGTCCTCTTCGTTATACAAATGAGAAAAACTGAAGCCCAGAAACATTAAATACTTTGACCAAGGTCATACATTTAACAAGTAGGGATTACAAACAGTGTTTCAAACCCAGGTAGCAAGAGAAGGAGTTTTGAGGTTGGAGATTAGGCCAGATCCTTAGGGCCCCAGGGTGAGAATGGGAGGTTGTTGGAAGGTATCGAACAGGTGGCGTGATCTCCCGCATTTTAAAAGGACCACAGGGTGGCTGTTAGCCAGACCTAGAGGAGTGGAACAGATTAAGCGGGTCAAAGGCCCAGGAAACACCGCTTTGTATAGTTTGCTCTGTGGCTCCAGCGTTATGCGGGATGGCTGTGTTGCACAGCTCTAGGAGGCACCTTCTCATGGTCTGTAAGTGGCATCCCTGGGGGTCAAAAAAACTGGAGGCCCAGGTGGAGGTGAGTTTCCCCTTCAGTGAGTATGGTCACAAGGCAGGGGACAACCTGGAGTGTCTGTGTAATGACATGCAGCAGTCTCCCCTTACCTGCGGGGACGTGTTCCACAACCCACGGTGGATGCCTGAAACTGCGGATAGCACTGAACCCTACTTATACTGTGGGGTTTTTCCTATATCTACACACTTTTTCACATAAAGAAGCACTTTATGGCTTCTCTTGGGCACGTCTGAACTGCCAGCATCACTTCTCTTGTGCTTTGGGCCATTATTAAGTAAAATAAGGGCGACTTGAACACAAGCACTGCAATACCCTGAGAGTTGATCGGATAACCTGAGAGGCTACTAATTGACTCACAGGCAGGCATCGTCTACAGTGTGGAGACGCTGGACAAAGGGATGATTCATGTACCAGGCAGGACAGCAGGGCAGCACATTTCATCCCACTACTCAGGACTGTGCACAATTTAAATCTTTGAATTGTTTATTTCTGGAATTTTTTATTTAGTATTTTCAGACTGCAGGTGAACACAAGTAACCGAAATCTCAGAAAGCGAAATAGCTGGGAAGCGGGGGAGACCATTGTTCCAGGAGATTCCTGACCCAGGTGATCCCTGCTTACCTGCCAAAGTGGGAATATGGGCTCCCCTCGCCCATCCAGGGGCCCTGGAGGTTTCCGGTCCCCCGGCAGGCGCGCCGGTTACCGAGAGAGGCCACTGGCAGCTTTCACTCAGCTGAGAGGAATGACGGGGTTTCAGTGATGCTGCTGGCCTACCGAAGGACAGGCGATGAGCCTGCTAGGCTTGTCCCCTTTTTCCTGGGGACCGTCAAGCAGAGGTGTGATCCAGTTGACAATATAATATCGTTCAGGTCATTAGTTCACTCTGAGAACCATCACATACTCCCTTCGAGATCTTTGGGCGAGTTGAGTTAATGACAAGGAAGTGGCGGAGCTTTTAAGCCATAGCGTGTCATTAAGCTGTAAGAAGCCATTTAAGCAAAAGCATTTTTGTGTTAAGTTCAGAACCTGCCTGTTTTTATAGTTATGTGACTAATTCTTTCCCAAGGCATCAGAAATAAACTTTTCAGGAGAACTAAACGCTATCTTGTGGAAGAAGTGAATATTCTAGAGCATAAACAAGCCTCGGATCCTGTCGCTGAGACAGCTCCCAGGCCAGCCCCTCCTGGCATCTCAGAGATTAAACTATTTCAGGACAGACGGCTGTCTTTTCCAGAAAATTTCCGGTCTCATGCGCTACGTATGGCAGCCCTGATTTTTAAAATCGGTCTAAAAGTTAAGGAACCCCTTCCTCTATTCAACTCACGTCTCTTAGGCTTTAATTTAAACCAGTTTCTTCCTTGGCCTTCCCCGGACTTGGAGAAAAGCTCGTCAGCATCTTCCACATGCAAGGCCTTTAATCAAATTACTCTCATTCGCTGCAAAGCTCCACTTCCTCTGACCTGTCCACAGGATTTATTCTCCGACCCTTTAATCATTAGGTTGGGCTTTCCCTAGACTGCCTCCAGAGGGTCTTTGCTTCCCTTCATGTGATTTTCAGAAGTTCCTTGCTTTGAGAAAATCTGAAAGCTCTCATCTTCGGGTCCTTTCAGTTGGGATTTTGGTTGTCCGTTCAAGCGCGGGCACCCGCCTGGCGATTTTCCTTCCAGCCCCTCCCGTTGTCTTCGTCTGCACGGGTCTCCTTTGGAGAGAGTAAAGCATCCGATATTAAAAAAGTTTCCTGGTTTTAGTGCCTTTCTGCTCTTGCTGTAAATAAAGAAGGAACGCCTGAGGGAGGAATGGGACATACGGGTGAATTCTCATAGGGACGGTTGTGAGGACCTGGGGCGACGCCAGGATGACTCGCTGCCCTTGCTCTTAGGCGTCGGGGGCCGCCCGGTCCCATTGCCTTGAAAACGCAGAGGAGGTTTCGGGTTTATTGGGGCTTCGCATTTGCAGAACTGGAGGGAAGGGGGAGCGACAGGCGAACCCACGTACTTGAATGCTTCTGGGCCGAAAGCGCTGCGCCCTTTATTTACGGGCCCGTTGCCTGCTGATGGAGGGGGAGTTGGAGACGAAGCAGGTTGTCCTCTGCCTGCTTCTCGGAAGCTGTCTGAGGAACACTGGGCTTGGTTCCGGGCTTCCAGGTGACCATCCGGAAACCTAAGTAGCACTTCTCTTGTTTATTTAAACATTGCTGTTCGTCACCCCCCGGCCCCGAAGCCCAGGGGGCCGCCCGTGCCTGCCAGGAAGCCCCTTCCCACCGTCACACCTTGTGCTCTCCTGCAGAAAGAGATGGTCCAGGAGGAGTTTGTTCTGTTTCTCTCTTCTTCACTCCATTCTCTAACCCCACATGAAGGAGTTAGTANCTTCCCACCATCACACCTTGTGCTCTCCTGCAGAAAGAGATGGTCCAGGAGGAGTTTGTTCTGTTTCTCTCTTCTTCACTCCATTCTCTAACCCCACATGAAGGAGTTAGTATTTATGGTGGCTGGCTTGTTAGGTTACAGTCCATTTCTTTGGTGACAAGAATAACTTTGCAGCCCATGGGGAACTCACGTCTGCTTATGACCTGTTTCCTGGGCAGAACGCTGAGGGCCAGTGGGAATGCTTTCTGGGCCTAGAAATATGATCCTGGAGGTCTGAATGGTTTTTTCCTTGCTTTCCCATGAAAGTTTGGTCAGCAGCCTTGCAGAAAATGTTTCTTAATAATGTTAATAAAAAAGATAGCTACTGATCTTTACTGAGGGCTCGCAAGGTGCTAAGTGATTTACATCAATTTTAATCTTTTCCATGACCTGATAAGATAGATACCAGTATTGTGTCTGTTTTACAGATGAGGAAACAAATTGTAAAAAGCTTGAATCTCTGACTGTGATGACCCACCTGGCAATTGCTTACCTTGGTGGGAAGTTTAACTTGCAAACCATGCATTTAGCAACTTTGCGACTTAGTGACGTCGATGCCCTGGATCTCCAACATATAAGGAGATGCTTGGGGCGAATCAATCACTAATTGATTGAGGTCTCATGTGCCAGGAACTGTCTTCAGCTCTGTACATGGATTATCTCATTTAATGCTGACTTGAACCCTCCTGAGTAGATGCTGCTGTGATTATCACCATTTTATTGAGGGAAATTTTGAGGCTTAAAGAAGTTAAGCATCTTTCTCAGGGTCACAGAGTGGTTGAGCAAGAATTCTCACCCAAACAGTCTGGCTCCAGAGCCTACCAGTTTCACTAAAACTCTGTTCCCATAATATTGAAGGTCATGGCGGGGGACGGGCTGGGACTCCTGTCTGAGACACAAGCTAAGAGTTGTTGACACCCTCAGATGAAGTGTTTTCCTAGTAGTCTGGTGGGACAAGCCTGTTGGCCGGGATTCTGGCCAGCAGCAGCCTGTGTCCTGTGGGGTTTGTCAGACTTGGCATCAGGCACATCCTGTCATTTTTGTGTTTTTGTCACCCCCACCCGCTTTGGACCACAGAGCTTTTCTAACTGATGTTCTTTTTTCCTCCCCTCTCTGTTCTCTCTTCAGCTCGAGGCTTTTTATTCCATCTTCACCACGGAGCAGCAAGACCATGTCAAGTCAGTGGAGTATCTGAGAAATAACTTCCGGCCACAGCAGGATCTGAACGGCAGGGTGGTGTCCAAGTCCGCCATCCGTGACGCCTGGAACCATGACATGACCGACTTCCTCGATAACCCACTGGGGACAGAAGCCTCCAAAGGTATATTTGGATAAAGTGCCCTTTCCCTGAGGAAGATTCCTAATCAGAAATTACGTTAAATCCAAAGGGGTTCAAAAGCAGCTGAGAATCGGAACTTGGTGTTGAGTATGTTTCTCTGCTGAAGAGACTCGTCTAGATGCTAAGTAGAAACAGTTGTGGGAATAACTTCAGTTAAATCGATCTGTTCAAAATTGCCCTTTTGACTAGTAATACGTTAGTCGTTCTCTCTGATTCTTTACCTTGCGACATCAACACTAGTCAGTTCGTGTCTAAAGAAAGCTTTTGAGTGTCTTACTTTTTAACTGCTTCCCTGCCGAGATCAGGAGTTTGCCTCTGAGCTCAACACCAGGACCTTGGACTTGCGCTCTGGACCCCGGTCGGCAGCGTTCTTACCGACGCCCACACCAGGCAGGGACTCCATCCACCTGTACCCCGACTAGACACCACGTGGCCTTTTACAGCGATTACTTAACAGCTCCGTTCCCATGCCTGATGAGCTTAAGTTTATAATTTTCAGGCATCTCATCTTTTCCATTTCTACTTTCTTATGTGAAATGAACATGAGTTTCTCTCCCAGGAAACTAGAAAGTCTGGCTCTACCCTGGCAGCCCTCCTCTCCAGCTCTGTGACTTGTCGTAATTGTGGCTTAGAGCTTGGGAAGCGCTTAGAGGAGTACGGCTGATCGAAGCCCTGGTACTCGGAAAGCAGGACGGAGAAAGGGCGTTTTTATGATCTCTACCAAGCCAGTGCTCTCCTTCAAAACTGTGAACTGGGGTGATCCGGGATGAGCTTGGGTCGCTTATCAGCCCTGGAATGTTTAGTGGGGTGAGTTACATGGGAGGGCTTGTTTCAAGAGTGCCCCCACCCCCAATTAAAGGACAGGCTGCTGGCAGTGACCTTTGTGGGAACGGGGAATGAGATTCTGTTCCACAAATAACCGCATCGAGTGCACTTTGATGATAAGAACAATCCCATTTTCCAGGCTTATATGTCTGAAGAGGAGCTAAGAGAAGAGGAAAGGGAGTTTAAGAACTTGGCCATGTCCTTCCCGTCTGTGTGGTTTTGTTTGAGGATGGGGAGGAGAAGCTGGTCTGGCCAGGATCCGTCAGGGATTTAAGTAATTTGGGGCTGATGCTTTGTCAAGGGCTTCAGTTGTCAGCTTGGAACAATAGGAGGCCTAAGCAACACACAAACCTTAAAATATCTTAGGTTGGGCCGGCAAAGAAAACCTTACTTGGGCTAATTTTTTTTTTTTTAACCAAGCTAAAAATAAAAGAAAACAACTGAACTCAAAAGCTTTTTCCCCAGAGAACTTGTCTGGGAAACAGAGGGCTCTTCAGGACTGTTTTGTGAGACACGGTTATAGAGGATATGTGGTGGGTGAGGAGTTTATGTCACAAGTGAGCACCAGATCTGGTAGCTCAGAATTGCTGAGGTTGTGACAGTTACAAAGTTCTTTCCTTAAAAAGGGGCTGCGGATATGATACATACCAGCGGCGCAAAGAGAATGCATGGCCCTTAGTTTCCAAGAAAGTGATAATGGTTTGCATTGCATTAAATTGTCCAAGTAGGCAAGAGCCTCCGGTGAAAGGGCTCTCTCTGAACTGGAGCAGAGCCATGGGCCCGCCCTTAAATGTAGGGGGTCAGTTCTTCATTCTGCAAGGTTTGTGGCAATTATCACAGTGCCCATTGCTGACTCCTAAGACGTGTGAATGTTAAAATGTTTTGTGATCTTTCTAGAGGCAGAGGGAGATGTAAGCACAGTCCTCTTGCTTTTTTGAACATAGTATCGGGGTGTTAATATACAGAAAAGCAGGCACATAGTACGTGGACAACGTGATGAATTTTCACAAACTGAATACGCTTCAGTAATAAACACCCGGATCAGGGAGCTCACATCACCCACTTTCCCAGGAGCACCTCTGTCTCCTTGTTCCTGGTCTCGTGACCATGACCATGACCACGACCATGACCATGACCATGACCATGCCTTAGTTTTGCTGCTGCCAAGTTCCATGGAAACAGAGCCAAGCAGGATGTCGTTTCCTGTTTGCTCCTTGGGTTCTTCCCTGGTTCTGAGAGTCAGAGATCTATGTTGTTACAGGTAGTTNCGACCATGACCACGACCACGACCACGACCACGACCATGACCATGACCATGACCATGACCTGGACCATGCCTTAGTTTTGCTGCTGCCAAGTTCCATGGAAACAGAGCCAAGCAGGATGTCGTTTCCTGTTTGCTCCTTGGGTTCTTCCCTGGTTCTGAGAGTCAGAGATCTATGTTGTTACAGGTAGTTGTAGTTTGGTCTTTCTTTTACCTGAATGTGTTTATATTTTTCAGTAGGCATGAATATGTGGATTATTTCCACGTTTTGGTGGTTATGAAAATTCTTGAACATGTTTTGTAATGAGCACATAGACGCATCTCTGTAGGGTACTCACCCAGGAGCGTACATATACATGCTCAGATTTGGTTACAAATGGCTAGAGCTCCCCAAAGTGATTGTGTGNATTATGAAAATTCTTGAACATGTTTTGTAATGAGCACATAGACACATCTCTGTAGGGTACTCACCCAGGAGCGTACATATACTCAGGAGCATATACATATGCTCAGATTTGGTTACAAATGGCTAGAGCTCCCCAAAGTGATTGTGTGTACCAGCACTCTATGAGAGTTCCTGTTTTTGCAGCTTTTTTTTAAAGGCATACTCCACATACCATAAAATTTGGCTATTACGAACATACAAGTCAATAATTTTTAGTAAGTTTATAGTTTTACAGCCATTTGGATCCTTCCTGCCCATTTGCAGCCAGTTTCTCCTGTCCTCTCTTCCAGGCCGCCTCTGACCTGCTTCATCTTGCACTTGGTGTTGGAAGTTTAAGATTTATCCATGATGTGTATGCATGTATCGTAGCTTATTGCTTTTTATTGCTAATAGTCTATTTGTTTTATACTTTTAATAACAGCTTTATTGAGATTTAATTCACATGCCATAAAGTTCATTCTTTGAAAGTGTACACTTCATTGGTTTTTAGTATATTTACAAAGTTGTACACTCATCACAACTGCTCTATCTACTTCCAGAACATTTTTGTCACCCCCACAAAGAAACTCCATACTCATTGGCTGTCACCCTGTTCTCCCTCCTTTCCTTTTCCCTGCATCTCCTCAACTTCCCAGCCCCAGGAAGCCACGAATGTGCTTTCTGTCTCTCGGGATTTGGCTGTTCAGGATAGTTCCTATACATGGAATCCTGCAATACATGGCTTTTTGTTCTTTAGCTTGTTTCATCATATTTTCAAGGTTCACCCATATTCAAGCATGTATCAAAATTTCATTCCATTTTATGACTTAATACTATACCATTGTATGGATATGCCACACTTTGTTTATTCATTTATCAGTTGATAGACATTTGAGTGTTTTCTATTTTTTGGCCGCTACGAATAGTGCTGTTGTGAACATTCATATTTAAGTTTTTGTGCGGACATAGTTTTCAGTTCCCTTGGATGTAAACCCAGGAGCAGAGTTGCTGAGTCATTTAGTAACCCTGGGCTTACTGCTTTGAAGAACTGCCAAACTGTTGTCCAGAGCGGCTGCACCAGTTTCCCTTCCCATCGGCAGTGTAGGAGGGCTCCGATTCCTCCACATCTGCCCCAGGACTTGTTATACGGCTTTTATTTTGTCCATCCTAGTGGATGTGAAGTAGTATCTCTTGGGGGTTTTGATTTGCACTTCCCTAATAACTAATGGTGTCCTGATTTCCCATTAAGTGCACATGCCATGGAACCATGGTCCACATGCCCAAATGCTTCTCCTTTCTCCCACCTAAGAAAACTCAGCTCCAGGGCACTGTAGGCCAAAAGCAAACCCCAGATGCTGGCAACCATCAGGTGGTCCGGAGGACTTAGATTATTCACTTTAGAGAGCTGAGGAACAAAGCGCCAATACAGGAAGAGTTCCCTTCTCTTCGGTTTTCTGAAAAAAAGATTTCAAAAAGAGGAGAGTGGCATTCTGTAATTTTCAGGTAATTCAAAAGGAACCAGTCCTATCTGATTGACAGTCTCTATCTGATCATTACTGGAAGTTTTCAGTGCCTGGGAGAGCCATGATGTTGAGCATGGAGCTATGCGTTTATTGGGCTCTTGTCACAGAAGAAAGAAAAATTAATTAAATTACATAGGACAGGAGTCAGGAAACTTCTTCGTCTAAGTAACAGATAGTGCGTCCTATGGTCTCTGCCGCAACTACTTAGTTCTGCCAGTGTAGCATGAAGCAGCCATAGACAACACATAAAAATNGAAAAATTAATTAAATTACATAGGACAGGAGTCAGTAAACTTCTTTGTCTAAGTAACAGATAGTGGGTCCTATGGTCTCTGCCGCAGCTGCTTAGTTCTGCCAGTGTAGCATGAAGCAGCCATAGACAACACATAAAAATGACTGGATGTAGAAATTAAAACGTAACTTACAAAAATAGGTGACAGGCTGGATTTGGCCTGGGGACCACAGTTTAATGACCCCTGCTCTAATGGATAGCCTTAAATTTGCTTTAAAGTAACTATATTCTGTCTCAAAGGTGACAGTGGCCGTGACTGTGAAAGTGTCCATTGGTTGGTTTTACTCTTCCTTTCCACAACCAGACCCTAGGACCAATTTGAGGTCTGGTAACTTGGTAACCAACCTCTTAGCGATTCACCTTGCGCCTGGTCATCTTTCCCACCAGAGGTGTGAGCAGAGCCTCGGGGGCCTGAATGCAGCGCCCCACCTCCCCGCTCCCCTGCTGCGGTCTGTAACGCTGTTCACTGAGCAGCCCTGTGGGGGTGCCTGAGTTACTGCGCCCCATCCTGCCCTCTGTCAGGATGATTGGATGTACTGGAATAGAGAGAACAGAATCAAGCCTTTCGATGCCAAGAATGAGACACAGGGCCATGTGAGACACCAGGGAAAAGGGGGCAAAGTCGTCTTCATATTGTATTGTTGTCGAAGAAGG